CAACCTGGGATGGTGCATTCATTACACATTGCTTTTAATAAATGTTTCACAAGTGAATGAATTAAAGAACTATGAAACTCATTATCCTTGTCTAGAGATGTAGAATGTTGAAAACTTAGAAGTTGCGTGTTTGGAGGAAGATGGTAAGGAGAAGTGTTTTGTTTTGTCTGATGTTAAGTTAGATTTCTCTGAAGGAATACCAAAAATCTTTGTAGTTCACCTTTTCTCCCCTTCCCTTCCACCCCCAAAGTCTTTTTACAAGCACCTCCAGTCTTAAAGGAAACACTGAGTTAGGACTTGGGAATCTGAGCCATCACCCATTCAGCAGGTCATTCCGCTCTGGTCTCTCTGTCCCCTGTGGGCATGACCAAAAGCGGACTACATCTCATTAAAGAAAGTAGACTCAAAGGTTCCTGTTTGTTCACTAATGTTTAGCTGCTTTTAAAATAGTAGTACATGAAAGCACCATGGAATTGTAGAAAGAGATCTTAGAGCTGATCTAATACAGCCCGTTCATGTTTTTTTCTTTTTAAAGATTTCTTTTAATTTATTTCATTAAATATTCCACAATTACATGTAGAAAAATAACAATTTTTTTGAGGCAATCAGAGTTAAGTGACTTGCCCAGGGTCACACAGCTATTAAATGCCTGAGGCCAGATTTGAACTCAAATCCTCCTGACTTCAGGGCCAGGGCTCTATCTACTGTACCACCTGACTGCCCCTGGACCAATCATTTTTTTTAAATTTTGAATTCAAAGTTCTCTCTCTCCCTCCCATACTTCCCCCTCCTTGAGAAGGCAAGCAATTTGGTATCAATCATACATGTAAAGTCATGCAAAACATATTTCCATATGAGCCATTTTGCAAAAGACAATACAGGCAAAAAGATAAACAAGTCATTCATCTTATTGATGAATAGAATGGAAGGCCAGATAAATGAAGTCATTTTCTCAATGGCATATTAGCTAGTATGTGGCTTCACTGGGACTGGAAATCAGGTACCCTGACTTCTCTTTGCAGTACATAGAGAATGAGAGGGAAACAGGGAGAAAGGAGAGTGAAGAGAAAGGGATGAAGAAGGAGATAGAGCAAAGAGAGATAAGAAGGGAGAAGGGAAAGATGTAGGGGGAAGAGAGGGAGAGAAGCGGTTGGGGGAAAGGAAAAGGGAAGGAACCTCAGAATTTGAGTGGTGTTAGAACAAACAGTGAAAATAAAATCTAGGGGAAAAAAAGGATAGTAAGAGGATGGAAAGATGTGATCAGTGTCCCCATTCTGTTCAAGCATTTTAACCCACCGTGGCTGGTAGGGGGTACAGGGATATTTGGGCATCTTGGTCATTAGCTACTACAATATGACTACAGCATAACCAGCTCTAACCACCAGCAATGGGGAAGAGAGAGGAAGAGAAGTGCATCCACATCTTGAAGCATCTATGGAAAATTTCTCTTTAAATAGAGCCAACATCTTCCTTTCTATGCTATGAAACTGCTCTATTGCTGGTGTTTGGGGACTGGCATGTAAGGTATAGGCTAAAGGCGTTATAGCAGATATTCTTAAGGACAAAGGCAGCTTAAGTGACACAATGGATAGTGCACTGGACCTAGAGTCAGAAAGACCAACGTTCAAAGCCAACCCCAGACACTTACTAGCTTCATGACCTTAAGCAAGTCACTTCACTTTTGTATGTATCAGCTTCCCCTTTAATGATTAACTAATAGTGAACACCTACCTCTCAGGGTGTTGCGAGGGCCAAACTAGATGATATTTGTAAAGCACTTTTCAAACCTTAGAGTGCAATATAAATGTGCAAAATAAATGCAATTCTAAATGTAATAATAAACATATTTATACAATACTAATAAATAAATACAAATACAAAATAAATATTATTACTAGTTATTATATTATTTTCTTTGGGGTTATGTTTGGGATAACATTATTTGACCTATGGTAGATATAAATCTGTAAAGTATGTTTTAGTAGGGTTACATAACATCATGTTCCAAAGTTTTGGAAGCCCAGAACGGAAATATTGCCCAAACTTTTTTGGAAGTAGGAGGAAAGAATGAATTTTCTTTCTTTCTTTCTTTCTTTCTTTCTTTCTTTCTTTCTTTCTTTCTTTCTTTCTTTCTTTCTTTCTTCCTTCCTTCCTTCCTTCCTTCCTTCCTTCCTTCCTTCCTTTCTGGCTATTAGGACCATACCCCTAGGAGAAGTTTACAAAACTTAAATAAAAAAGTCATCACAAAAAAATGCAAACAAAATATGCTTCTGATATTTCTGATGTTTCAGCAACTGGGAAGTTGTTGAACGATTTATGGTATGTGAATATAATTGATTGTTACTGTGCCGCGGGGAATACAAAATGTGAAGAATTTAGAAAAATACGGAAAGATTTGTGTGACGTTATTGAGGGTGAAAAAGACAGAAGAAAAAATAATCTATATAGACTCTGAATAATACAACAATCAATAAAGTTAACATTGAGAGGCAACAAAACTATAGTTAAATAACAGTGGTCAGTATTCCATACTATCAAAGGTAAAGGGGACATCTCTCTTTCCTGTTGATCAATGATATATGTATCATCATACATATATTAACCATTACATATATTACATATACATATAATCAATATGTATATTAACTCATTAACCATTTGAGGGGAATGTACTTTGGTAGGTTGGGTTTTTTGTAGGTTTGTTGAGAAATTTCTATAACAAAACACCATGTATCCATTTTTCTTTTAGGTGGAGACTTCTTTTTACTGGAGATAATTTAGACTCATATAATGTTAAAGCTGCAAGGAAGCCTCTATTCTAGCCCCTTCATTTTACAAATGAGGAAATTAAGGCTCAGAGAAACTGTCATTGAATTTGAGAGCTCAGAGAGATCTTAGTAATCATCTCTTATGCACCTTTATTTTACAGATGTGGAAACTGAGACCGATAGAGGTAAAGTTACTTGCTCAAAGTTCCACAATAAGTTAATATCAGAACCCAAAGTATAACCTGGCTCCCCATGCCTCGTCTGATTCTCATTCCATGGCAACACATTTCTTTCAACTTACTTTATAACTAACAAATAGTAAAGAGCCCCCTTTCTGGCATATTTTGCTTGGCAATCCAAATTGACTGAAAGAGAGAAGACGGCAGGGAAAATTACCTGAATTCTTGGCAAAAAATTCCTTACTTCAGGTGTCTTTTCTCTCTAATACACCCCACATGCTGATGCCAGTTATGTGGCAGACGTACATAACTCTGATCATGTCACTCTACTAATCAAAGCCTTCAATCACCTACAGGTGATGACTGAATTCCTTAGCATAGCATTAAAGGCCTTATACCAATGGTGGGGAACCTGTGGCCTCGAGGCCACATGTGGCCCTCTAGGTCCTCAAGTGCAGCCTTTTGACTGAATCCAAACTTCACAGAACAAACCCCCTTAATAAAAGGATGTGTTCTGTAAAACCTGGACTCAGTCAAAAGTCCCTCACCCAAGAACCTGGAAGACCTAGGGCCTGGAGGCTGCAGGTTCCCCACCCCTGCCTTATACAGTCTGGCTGTAACTTACCTTTCTGGCTTTCATATTTTTCCCTCTCCAATTTTCTTATGCTCTATCCAAGCTGGCTACTCTCTGTCCCCCAAACACATTCCAGGCTTTCTTGCTTCTGACCCTTTGTTCACACCACTTCCTATGTCTGGAATGCCCTCCCTAATCATTGTTGCCTATTGAAATCCTACCTATATTTCAAGACCTAGCTCAAATGCCTGCTAAGCCTTCCTTGATTTACACCAGCATCCCAGTGGGTAATATAAGTGATTTTTTTTGCCTTAATCTGAATTTAGGACTCAAAATACTCAAAGGAATTTGTGATCTCATTATAGGAATTCCCTCTAGCAATGCAAATCTCAACCCATCCATGCCTGTCCATCTTGGAATATTCTTATCCTTGTCCTCCACTATTTCACCACAGAAGTCCACCCAACTTCAGGAAGAAAGTTGAAGGCTTCCCAATCTTTCCCTTGACATTGAAAGGATTGAGGACCTTTGTTTCAGGGAGAAGCTTAGGAATCATTAAAAATATTGTACTTTCCCAAAGGCAACCCAGTCCATTCTTCTGTTCAAGTCTAGACTTAATTCATCCATTTACAGTGTATGTCATATATATTACACATATATACATATTATATACATATACATGCAGAATTGAGACTATGTACACATGTCTTTCCACATATATGTATATGACATTGTGCTGATTGCATATGTAATACATATATATGTGGATAGATATGTATGTATATACATAGGTACATATGTATATTCTGATGGATGAGCTTTTTGGTTGTCTATTTATTTGCCTATTGTAGTCATTCTTCATCCAATTAGTTTTTCCTATATAGATGGTTATAAATTAGTTTACATTCGAAATGCCCTAATCTCACCACTAACAAGTATTTGCCTCCTACAAAATATTAATTACTTTGTATTTTGTATGTATCCTTTGTCTCCTTTTATATGTACATACTGTTTTCCCCGATAGAATGTAAACTTCTTGAAGGCAGGAACCATTTTTTTCCCTTTGTAAACACCCAGGATCTAACATAATGAATGGAACATAGTGGACACCTCATAAATTCTTACTGATAAATTATATTCTATTATCTAGTATCCTCCTTGAGAGCCCTGACCATATTTTGTTGATCTTTGTATCTTCCCTCAGTGCCTAAGATAATGTATTGCACATAGTAGATGCTTGGGAAAAAAGAATGTTTGCATGAATGAGTGAATATGGTCTTTTTAAAGTTTTTTTTACCCTCTAATCTCAATGGAATCCTGGTGTTCATTTTCATTACAAAACAATGAACAATAGGAAAAAAAAGAGACCTGCCTAAGGCCGGATAAAAGGAAAGACAAAGAAGGGGAGAAAAGACTAAAAACAGACATGACAAATGAAGTTTTTGCTTTAGTTGTTACTTTTTTATTTTTGTTTTTCAGAAGATGACAGATGGTCTCTACATGATATTGATTCTGAAGAACTGAGATTCCTGACCAACCCAGTCTATAATGGAGAAGACAGCACGCCAAGTACCAACATGGAGACCACCGTTCCGTTTTTAGTTTCACTGTAGACATGTGCCCTCAAAGCAGAGAGTGAAAGGCCCTCAGGACACCCCTTATGTCCTTGTACCCTTTTTTCTCCCTCCTGGAGAAAAGAGAAACGATGACCTATTATAGAAGTTGCTTGATCCTCTTGGCATTCACCTGGAACGCTTCTGCCTATGGCCCTGACCAGAGAGCACAGAAGAAGGGGGATATTATTCTTGGGGGACTCTTTCCAATTCACTTTGGAGTAGCAGCTAAAGATCAAGATCTAAAGTCAAGGCCTGAGTCAGTGAAATGCATCAGGTAAGAGAAAGAAGCCAACTTCCAGATGCCCAGAGTCTGATTTTCTCTTAGGGTGTTGGGGATGCAGATGGAGAGAAACTCAGGAAGTGGTCTACGGCAGTGGTTTCTCTTTAGTGGTTCAGAGTTTGTAATGATCGTTCAATAGGCTCATGCTGAGGTCATGTCTTCTTTTCTTACTCAAATTTATTAGAATATGATATTGGAGCTGGAAAGGGCCTTAAAGATCATTTAGTTCAGTAGTTCATTCTACAAATGAGAAGGTTGAGGTTCACAGAAGTGAACCCAGTTACCCAAAGTCACACCCTTTTTTGGGTAACAAAATTACCCAAAGCCCTTATAGAAAGGCCAGGGCTAGAAACCACATTTCCTTTCTCTTATGCCCACTGATTGCCATCTTACTACCATCTAGTCCATCCTGTATCTCTTTTATTTTTTCCCGTATTTTCTGTACTTGATATATTTAAAAACAAAGAAACTTAAGAGTTTCTGCCTTTCCTAAGTCACCTGCTGTTTACCTTTCTGGAGTGACATTTCATTTTCTCCTTGTATACTTGATGTGCTGAAAGAGCATAGCATAGAAGAGTTGCCTAGCAGCCATAAGGGTCCAACTGAGGCTGTGAAATATAAATTTGTAATGGGCCAAGTTAGAACTGTTGCATGATTTTCTCTACCTTCATTCAGCAGCACGTATAAGAGCAAAGGAGAGAAATGGTGGGAGTGAAGTGATCCAAGGCAGAATCTTGACAAGGCATAATTGGTGAAGATAGGATAGCTATAGGAGCTAGAGATTCAAGAAAGGAGGACAGTGTAGAGTTGAACTGGTTCATCCAGGGGTCAGGATGAGAAAATGGGAGAGAGTATCTGGTATGGGGGAGATTGCCTGGAAAGAATTTAAGGGATCAAGGATTGGAGGTCACAGTGCAGATAAAGAGCAGGGTTTTATAGGGGAAGGTAGAGGGAGAGATGAAAAGTCAATCGATCATAGGTGGATAAAGGGATTTGGGAATTCTTGAACATGAAAGTGAGTAGGTTGAGCAAATGAGTGGTTAGGGTGCTGGAGAGAGAGCCAGTATGTATACTGAAATCCCACTTAACATCTCTGGAATCCAATTTCTTCACACGTAAAGTGAGAGAGATGAGCCAGATGTTTTCCATAGATTAGAAGCCTCATGTGTGAATGGATGGGGACTGACCAAAATGTCTTCACAAAAGTCTCACTCCGATACTTTACCTTAGCATGGCAGTAACCCTGGATCCTTGAACACCATGCGAGCAGAATTTGAGTTTTGGCAGGTTCTAATACTTAAAAAACATGAAAACCTAGCCTCCAGCAAGGACCTTGCTGTCCAAGTGTTATAGAGCACAAAAAAGCACTGGCTTTAGAGTCAGAGAATCTGGTTTCAAATTTTGCCTCTAATACTTTCTGCCACTGTGCCATTTTGGGACAGCTAGGTGGTGAAATGGATAGAGCACCAGCCCTAGAGTCAGGAAGACTCATATCCCTGAGTTCAAATCTGGCCTCAGATACTTACTAGCTGTGTGACCCTGGGCAAGTCACTTAACCCTGTTTGTCTCAGTTTCTTCATCTGTAAAATGAGCTGGAGAAGGAAATGGCAAACTACTCCGGTACCTTTGCCAAGAAAACCCCAAATGGGGTCACCAAGAGTCAGACACGACTGACCAACAATAACAACAAAGTTCAAAGTAAATAACAAATTGGAAGACAGGATGAAAATTCAGTAGGAAGACATTGTATATGCAAAAGCCGAAGTAAATACAGATTAGATAGAAATACGATAAATGAATCACAGAGTAGTGGATAGAGTGCTGGACTTGGAATCAGAAAGACCGGATTCAAATCTCGCTTTTGACATTAACCGGTTGGGCAGCCATGAGTAAGTCTCCTTATGTCTGTAAGTCTCAGTTTCCTCATCTGTAAAAGAAAATTACTACCCCGTGGTACTTAGTTCATAGGGTTGTTGCGAGCCTGAAATGAGATATGTAAAGCACTTTGGAAACCATAAGGCACTATATAAATGTCAGCATCATAAAACACTACATGTGAATAAAGCAGTTCCCTCCTGACTATTGAAAGCTATCTACTTTGGAGGGAAAAATGAGACATGCACAAAAATAAAGAAATTTCCTCTTACTGTTTCCTAGAGAAATTGAACCAGTGCAACATAGTCCATACAATAATAAGACTGAAAGATCCCAGAAACCTCCTCAGCCAGCAAATACTTAATCGCCTCTGTCAACAGCGAGCTATGGTGTCAGGAACCACAATTTGAAACCCATTTGCAAAACATTACAGATGAGTACCTCATAAGAAGCCCTGTCTCAGAAAACAGCAAAAAATCAGGAAAGGAATAAACAAGTCTAACAATTCTTACTTTGACACCCAGCTAAGCCATATCAAATACCTGAGAATATTTGTAGGTGAAACTGAAAAAAAAAAGACACTACACAAAGATGTGAAATTTGTGGGACAAAATTTCTTCTGGAATCTGCTGGGATTTTTATATATGCTCACTTCATCATTGTCCACAGTGAAACTACCACATATGGATTCTAACCCCTTAGTGTATATCACCTGATATGAGAGGAAATCAGGAAGAAAAACTGGCTCTGGCAAAATACAGAAGAAATCTTTGCAGGAAATAACATAATTTCAAAGGCACTCAGGGAGAGGTTTCCAAGCTATCTCAAAGAGAAAAGTGTCATCAGTGGTGTTTTTACCCCACAAAGAGATGAAAAGATAGCAATTACTCATAAGCCTACTCTTTCATCTCTCTAAAATAACTACAAGAATCTCATGTGTACATAGCAGTGGGATCTTTGATGAAAACATGAGAAGAAAATACTCAAGCTTGTGCAGACAACTTTCTGCATCAGGCCCACATCTTCATAGTCACACAACTGACTAAGAAGTATTGAGAACATTGTTGTGTCTATTATTTATTAAAAAGGGAACATGTCCTGAAATTCTTCTCATAATATTTTTTTCAATTAACAAGTATTTATTTTCTCTTCTTCCCAACCTACCCTCCTGAACTAAAAAGTAAAAACCTTTTTAATAAATATGCTTAGTCAAGCAAAACAAATTTCCGTATTGGCCTTATCCAAAAAGATGTCTTATTCTACGTATTTAGTCTAGCTCTTCTGTATCAGAAGGCAGGTAGTATTCTTTATCATCAGTTCTCTGGAATCATGGGAAGTCATTGTATTACTTAGTCTTCTTAAGTCTTTCAAAATTGTTTGTGCTTATGATGTTGTTATTGTATAAATTGTTCTTGTGGTTCTGCTCACTTCATTTTGCATCAGTTCATATTAGTTTTCCCAGGTTTCTCTGAAACTGTCCCTTTCATCATTTCTTACCCCACATAGTTTGTATTACTTTGATATATCATAATTTGTTCAGCCTTTCCCCAATTGGTAGACTCCTCCTTTGTTTCCAGTTCTTTGCCACCATAAAAAGCTACTGTATTTTGATACATATGAGTCCTTTTCCTTTTTCTTTGATCTCTTTGTGGGGCATAGGTTGTATCAGCACAAATGTCTTAATTTTCAAAAAACAGAGGAGTAAGAGAGTAGAAGTTAAAAAACCCGATTCCAATTCTTTCCAAAAGTCTGTCTATTAAAAAGACAATCTGTGAGTATTTAAAACCATTTATTAATGGTTTCTATGGCTTCACTAAGAACAAGTCATGCCAGACAAACTCATTGTTTTTTGATAGCGTAATTATCAAGCAGTCCAGGGGAATATTGCAGTTGTAGAATAGGCCAAGATTTCAGTGAAGTATCTAACAGTCTCTCATACTGCTGTTATAGATAAGATGAAGAAGAAAGTCCAGACAATAGTATAACCATACTGGTTAATAATTAACTCAAATTTATGTTGCATTTTAAGGTTTACAAAGTACTTTCCTCACAACAGTTCTGTAGGGTAAGTAGTAGGGATAAGCTGGGCCTGTGATTTCACTGATGTAGGGAAATCCTGGATGAGGAAGCTCCCTTTATCATCAGCAACTTTTCTGTAACTTACAGTCTTAGTGAGGTACCTAGAGAAGTAATAGAAGCAGTGTTAGTATAAGTTAAGCTATTTACTAATAAGTTAGTCATTAGTATAAGTTAGTATCAGTAGTAAGATGAGTAGGATAAGCATTATTATGACCATTTTATAGGTGATAATAATAAGTATCTCTAGCAAAATTCAAACCTAGTTCTTCTGACTCCAAGTCCACTGCTATTCTGATGCTGCACTGAACCCATATAATAGTCCTCAATGGGTCAATGATGCCTCAGAGCAATAATTTTCTTTTCTTTTCTTTTTTTAATTTTATTGATTTATTTTGATTTATCAAAAACACTTCCATATGCTTTTGAGTTGAAAATTTTTCTCCCCCTTCCTTCCCCCACCCTCCCCAAGACGTGGGAGCAATAATTTTCAAAGTGTGGTATGGGGACTCTTGGGGTCCTGTGACCCTTTCAGGAGGTCAGTCTTTGAGGACGAAACTACTTGCATAATAATATCAGGATATTTTAATTTCTAGTATAGTAAATATCAACAGATATAATCAATAGAAACAAAAGCTCTTTGGGATCCTCATTTTTTAAGAGCATAAAGGATCTTCGGATCAAAAGTCTGAGAACCATTGCTTCAGAGGAATGCCTCTAGTAGCATGCCTTTAAAGATCAGGCTGTCATGTTGAACATTTTGGTCAATGTCTTAGATCAAACCATAGATGTCATGCTTATCAAATTTGGAGATGACAGAAACTGGGAAAGACAATAAATATGTCAGATGACAGAGTCAATATGCAAAGAAATCTTAATGGGATAGAATGATGGACTGAGCTGAACAAGTAGAAATTTATTAGAGATGAATGGAAAATTCTGTGCTTGGGTTCAGAAAATCAACTTCACAAATACAGATGAGGGACATAAGTCTGAACAACAATATGTGTGAGAAAATGAGGGAGTTTTAATATTCTGAAGGT